AAAAATGGCAGAAGCCCCTTACCTCCAGTGAGTATGCTTTTCCAATCCCATCTCCTGCTCCGGTGACCACTGCAGAAGGGAACAGAGGATTCATCTGTATACGTTCCTCCTTCTCCTAGGCTACCCTGTCTGGCCAGCCTGGGGTCTAGGATACTCAATGCCCACAGCCGCCTGGCTCCACACTGCTCCAAATTTCCAGCCCTTGGCCAACCCCTAGGAACCCTCCAGGGGGAAGGGCGAGTTGTTTTGAGGGTGGGGTTTGTGTCTTTGCTGTTGTGTTGTTTAAGGACCTGGAGAGGCAATGAGAAATGTGCTGTGAAATGTGCAGAGAGCCTCAGCCAGGAAACAATGGATCCAGACCTGAGGATTGAAACAGGGGACGCCACATGGTCAAGGGCAAGCAGTGCGCCCTGTAATCACTCCCAGGCCCAGTGCTTCCACCCCGCCTCCATTCCCACCCCACAGGGCAGCCCGTGGAAGATAAGGGACTTAGCAAAGAAGAGAATACAGAAATGCACAGAGGGAATGCGGTGGCCTGAAGGAACTTGGAGAATTTGCCCTCCGTAGAACTTTCTATTAGCATACGACCAGCAGGTCTTGTAGTCCTCTTGTCTCCAGCACTGCAGAGCTGTTGGTGATGAGGTCCAGAATCAGCCTCATTCACGGGAATGTCCCAATTTGGACATTCACTGCATTAAGTACACACACACCCGTGAATGACCTTGACACCAACATTTCAAGGCCAAGGTACCCGCTCAAGGTTATTGTACATCTTGCCCACCCCCCCACCCCCGCTCCACAATCACCCGCATAGTTAAGGTAATGACAGGTGTGATGATGGTGATGTACTGTTCTGAGTGTCGGTCGTAGGTGTGTGACTTCATTGCATGCTCAAAACAAGCCCAGAAGGTGTCACGATCCTCTGTTCATCGTTGAGGAAGCTCAAAAAGAGGAAAGTTCTTCATTTGATCAAGGTCTCACAGCTAAAACTGAAGACCAAAGGATTTGAACTCATGCTACCTGACTTTGGGACCA